ACTGGACGCCTAAGTCGAGCACTTATAGCGAGAATATCCTTCAAATCACCGGGAGCACCATTCTCAACATTCTTAGCCATGTTTTCAATATCTGGATGGATTGGTATCCCATCTTGAACATTGTCTTTTCGTATACTTTTGGCTGCTCGTTTCATCATATCTTTTCCATGTCGAATTATGTCATTTTGAGCTCGACGATTTTTTAATTGTTCTTCTAATGTTCCTTTACTACCAGCACATGCAGCTTCAATTTTCTTTGATAAATGGTTCACACCAGCATCGACACTTGTATGAACAGCAGGTTTGATGAGTTCAGCATTGAGACGATTCGTCATATAATTTGCTAAATGATCATTTACTGTTCTTGTAATCATATTCTTTTCGAATGCATATTCAGAACGGTTTGTAGTTTCAATATAAATATCATTACAAACTTGAACAACATAAGTTTCATGTTTTTTATGTTCTTTTAAAGCAATTGGAGAAGGATCAAGTTGTTTGATAATTTTGATATGATCTTTTTCAATATATTTTTCTCTCTTTAATTGTTCAACTATTTCTTTTGCTGTTCGTTCATCAATATTATTTTGATTGTTTTTATGAAGTAAATGATCGATTTTTAATTTATCTCGTAATTTAACTAAATCACGTCTAAATTCAATAAAAACTTCATCTAAAAATGTCACTAAGTCTGTAACACATTTGCCTGCAGTAAATATTTTTAATATATGTGCACTAACACCATTGGTTAATTGATTTATTATACTTTTAACAATCGAAATTGCTGCATCAACAAATCGATTACTTTGTGGATGTAATATTCTATTCAATAAATTTTCGACTTCATTATGACATGTATTTGTTCGACGTAAAGCAGCATCAACAGTTAAGAATTCCTTAATTATTTGATTATCTTTAATTTCATTATTAACTCGTTCTTGGATATGTTCAGAAATTTCTTCATTTATTCGTTTACTTAATTGTGCTAGAATTGTTTTATCTAATACAGTTTTAAGAATTTCTTTAGTACCAGCTTTCACAAATGCTTGACCAATTTGTTTACCAACAAGTACCCAACCTTCTTTTGTAAATTGTCCGACTAATTCTTTGCCGCCAACAGCAGTCGATTTGACTATATTAACGCAACCTTTCAATCCTGATTTGATTCCTTGACCTGTTTCTTTCAATGCTGGCATGCCACATGTAGCAATTGTAATGGCAATACTGATTGCTTTTTGTATTGCATATTCTTCCCAGCTGAATTCATCAATAATTGCACTTTTAATTGCAGTTATCATATCACCGATTCCTTCACTTAATAACATTGTACCAATTTGTATTGCTGCACCTGCTGTAAATACAATCAAAGCTGCACCAACCACTGCTTGTGCTATGCCAAGAAGACCAACGGCAATTATACTCAACCATGGCGTTGGTTCTTTTTGAGTTAGTTGAAAAAATCCTAAAAATCCACTTTCTTTAAATTCAATTATGTCTAATGCAGGCTTGTTGACATCGCTAAAAAATTCATCCAATGCCTTGTATTGCATCCGAACATTATGCTCTTTGCTTAATGCATTATCTATAACTAATATTGCTTGTTCAATTTGATTCTTACATAAACATAAAAGATTAATGCGATTCATGATTTGATCTTCAGCGTCACTTTTCATACTTGTATCACTGGCTGCATCCTTCATGTTTTCAGTGTCATTATTGTTACCAGAAGCAATTCGAAATGAAATCGACATTGTTTCATGTTGTGGTATTAATATATTATCAATAGTGTTCAAAGCCTTTTCGAGTTCAGATTTCGCTTTTTCTTTATTGTCACTCGATATTTTTATTAAAGCATAAGCTAAATTATAACGTGCACTGCTGGTGAATATCGGATCAGATTCGATAGCATGTTGTAGAAAATCAATGGCTTCTTCATACTTTTTCTTTTCGAATATATATTCATTCGCTTTTAAGATTAAATAAAATGGATTTTGAAAGATCATATTTGAATTATAATCGGCTAAAATTTTTGATCGAAACTCCTCGAATTTAGTATTGACTAATTGATCATTGAGATCATCATTATTATCATCATCGACAGAATCTTCATTGGAAAATGTTGTTTTAAGCCAAAAACCCCATGATTCTTCTACACAATTTAATTTATATGTATCGTTCTCTCGTCGACGTAATTCTGTACGTAAATCGCAAAATTTTCCAAATAATCTATCACGTCTTTTAATATGATTCAATTCAACGCGTTTCGCTCGTGCTATATGTCGTTTTTCTTGTTTATCTCTATCTTCTTTCAGTTGTATAATATTATCATATTTAGTTTGACTATTGACAGGTGTCAGTACAATCAGTTGTGCACTACCACGTTTTCCTTGTCTTGAAGTTCGACCGAATGCTTGATGTTCAACGCGAGTATTCAAAGGTAAAAATGTGACTAATACATGAAGACCACCATTTTCTTCAACTTTGTGTGTTGTACCAATATCTGTACCTCGACCAGCGAGATTTGTAGCAACAATAATTTGACCACAATCTAATTCATTATTAATTGCATTTTGCTCTTCATTATCGCTGCGTGTATACAGTTTGATTTGTCTTTTAAGTTGAACATGTGTTTCAATCAATTTCTCATATATCTTCGATGCATCCGATTTTGTTTCACATATAACCAAAACAGCACGTTGATTTATTTTAGCTTCAGTATATATTGATTCAGTACATTCATTTACCCAGTCTTGTTCAGATTGACTCAATTTATCGAGATAGGCTATGAATTGTGTATATTTATAGGGCGGTATAATGACGAAATCTACATTGTAGATATAACGAATTAAATCTTTCGCTTCCTTCGAGCCAAGTGTACCCGTCAAACCGAATAAATTTTTTCCATAACGACTAAAAAAGGCCACATTGGATAGGAAATTTGTTGTTAAACTTTCAGCACTTATTCTTAACTTATGTTTGATCTGTAAAAATTGATGTAAACCATCGGGCCACGATGTGTTCATTTGTACGATACCCGTATTTCTATAATCAATTGGTACAATTGATTGAACGCCATCTTTGCCATTCGTAATTAAATAGTCAATGTTTTCGTGATAGGCAAATTTTGCTTGCCATGCACTTAGTATCCATTTATTCAGTTGTTGTTTTACAAATGTTGTCAAGTGTTTCGGTATATACACTAAACATTGATTTTTTTCATCAGGTTTCAATAGTTTATTTTCAACAACATTTCTAATATGATTCTCGATAAATTCATAGAGATTTTCAACTGCTATCAAATCATGCATATCATCATCGTCATCATCATCGTCAGCAGCAGCTGTTGTCTTATCATTTTCATTGGTTGTTTCAGATTTTAACAATATTATTTTACCATTTTCATCCATTCGAAATGGTATTGTGACACAATACAATTTATCTTTGATTTGAATAATTTTGTCATAGGTGCGATTTAATTCTTGCCAAAGTACTGTTAAGACAACTTTCAATTCATCAATAGCTGGAATTTTACTTGATAAACGACATATTTTAGAATTATCATCTATCAACATGCTATCAACTTCATCAACAATTGCAATATCAAATTTACGTTGACAACGTGTACCCAATAAACTATATTCATCTTTTAATATATCAAATTGGAAATCGTTGACACTACCATAAACAATATCGTTTGTATAACATGGTTTTGTAGATGACATGCCACTGTTTTCGGCAACAGTCAAATTCAACATTGTATAAAATCTATTTTTATTTTCAGCATCACGTTTAGCTAGTAACGGTGATGTAGTTACAATATCAACTTTATTACCATTTAATGCTTTGATAGCTGCAAACATAGCAATGATCACACTCTTACCTTCACCTGTTTTGATTTGTGCTAAACGTGCAATATTAGCCTCTGACGCATTTAACATTAACAGTAGCGATAATATTTGAGTCGCTCTTGGTTCAAATTGTTGTTTTGTATTATGTAGAAAGATTGCACGTTTTACAACACATATGAGTTCATATCTTGATTGTTCGGAATTTTGATTTGAATTTTGTTTGTAATATGCTGACCATTTTCCTACATCACATTCATTCCAATGATTAATTGGTTTACCAATCGGATAAAATTTTGAATCGTGATCATATGCTAACATTATCTTTCGATAATTTTCTTCAAGATTTTCGATGGAATCATTTAATTCTTTATTATCTTTTATATCGCAGTTTCTAAAAAGAATGTAATACGGATGTCATCTTTCTCTGAAGAAAATCTTGATAGCGGAGACAAAAATGTGACGATTAAAAGTGTCACTAGAGGAGAAGAATTTCATTGTTGTCAAATGTTCAGATTGATCAGAAATCAAAAATAAGAAATCAGTTCTATAAAATCGAACCAAATACACACCTTTTGATTTCATCGATCAGCTCTTGTAACGTCTTTTCACGTTCATCTTGATCAAACGATACAGATATGGCGAATTTTTGCATGTTCAATGGCCATTCTTTTGAATTTTTGAACTTTTTGAATATTGATTCAGCATTTGTTCCATTCTTATCGGATATTTTGTGTTGAATTCCATAATTACTTATTACAGTTAATGTACTGAAAAAATTTTTCATCATTACTGGAAATGATTCATCTTGTTTTTCTTTAAGAATGTCAAGTAATCTTTCGAATACTTCTAACGACCAGTTTTTCGCATATACTGACATAATAATAAATTGAATATTCTCGAACATTTTCGGTTCATTGAAATTTCTATATTTACATAGATTGAGAATTTTCTTGTGTATGAAATCACATTGAATCTCCAATGACCATGAATATAAATCCTGTAGAATGATTTTCGTTTCATCTTTATGTGTAAAATAATTACACAAATTAAGTTCTTTGTAAATATTTTTCTCGTATAAAAATCTCAAAAAATTAATTAATTCTTCGAAATTTTCAACATCACACAAACGTTGAAGAAAACATTCACTTACGGATACATTCAAATGAAGATCCGTCAGCAACAGTTTGACTATTTCTTTTGCATTATCATCAGTTATTGTTACGTTTTTGTTTGATTTAATATATTCATACTTTTCTATCATTGTATATAACCAATTAATTTGCAATTTTTTCAACCAATCCTTTGAAGAAACACGTAGTATTTGCAATGCTTTGGAATTAGTTTTCAATAAGAGTAATATTTCATTCATATCTTTCAACGTAAAATTGGAATGATTTGCAATTAAAAAGATCAATATTTCATCACGAATCATAGAAAACGACGGAAAACTAAGGTAGGCTTCTAAAGAACTCAAATTTGAATAGAATCTAAACTGAGTGATTGAATCGTATTTATCATGCTGATAGATACGTAATAATAGATCAGTACATAGTAGTTCACGACATATTAAATCAAGTTCTTTATTGTAAATATTGGCATCTACATATTCCACAATCAAGAATACATGAATGATGTGTAATGTAAATTGAATTGGTATTTTCAAGCATTTTTCTAAAATATTTTCTATTTGTGATAATAATGGATGTCCTTTTAAAATGTTTTCTAAATAAATGAAAAACTTTGTCGATGGTTTATAATTTGGTATATATTTTAGAGTATTTAAAATTTTTTTCTGCATAGTTTCATCATGTTCATTCAATGCATTTTCTAAACATCGAATTAGATTTTCATCGAATGTTTTAGTATTTGTAGCTAAATTTTTCAAAATTTCTACAATATTCAATCGTTGATTTAGAGTAGTGTTTTCTTGATTTTCGAGAATTTTCGCAAAATGTTGCGTCGTTGGTTTGGTCAATTTACAACCATTTTGTGTACCTCGAAGAAAAATCGGATACGATTCGTTTAAATTTTCAAGTAAATATTGTTCTGAGTTGTCTAATATTTCTTGTGTTATCAGTTCTTCATTATGATTTGAAATGAGTTTAATAATTTCAATCAAATATCTTCTATTGAATCGATCATTGTTAATCAAACGACTTAATAGATTGAGAAATGTTGATGGTAATTTTTGACCGTTTCGAACAGCTATTTCGATTATATGCAATGCATTTTCTTTAATATCATGCATATCGAATGAACTCTTTAATAGATATTCAAGTGATTCAATTGTATTTCTTGATATTTTGTAACCATCACGAACCAGTTCGAGACATTTATCGATAGCTGCTTTTTTATTTTGAACATTGCATGTTGGATTCTGTAAGCATTTAGAGAAGATTGGGAACTGAATTTTTTTGAGTATTTCAGGTGGAATTGTTTCATAATTTGTTATTGTTTCCAAACTATCGATAACACTATCTCTTAATGTTTGATTTCTGTTTTCAGATGCAAAATCAATTAAGATATCCAATGTTTTAATAGGAAAAGATTTTCTGAAATGAATCAATGCTTTTAATACATTGATTACAGCTTCACTTAATATATCATCATGTATGGAACTGAGAATGAAACTAATTTGTGATTGATTTAAATAAGCTGCAACACATTCGAAAATTTTCATCACAATTGATTTGAATTCAATGGATGAATCATTTGAATGAAACGATAACTCTAGAACTTTCATATTACATGTCGATAAGGATCGTTGTCCATCTTGAACAATTGATAATAGTTGTTTTCCTGCTGCTAAACGATTCCTCGGATTTTGACTTTCGAGAATTGTTTGACCTAACATTTCACATTTAATGATTTGTTCTATTGTTTGCATGTGAACTGTATTTGCAAATCCTTGATACATTGTGACATATTGTTTCAGTGTGTCTAGCGATATATCTCTTAGATTAATTGTTGAAGAATAACTTGTCGTCATTTGTGTATTGTCCAATTCATCATCTTGTGCATAAATTTTTAGAAGATCTAAGGTGAAATCTGATAAATTTATCTGATGTGCAATTAGAGATTTCAATGCTAGACAACTGTAATATTTGATTTCTTTCGTTGGATTATTTTGAAAATAATCTTCAATTAATGTTACAATTCGACGATTTGGTAATTCATCATCGTGAGTTAGATTTTGTAGAGAATAGGCCAATGTTTCAATGAGATTTGTTTGTATATTGTCATCGTTTTGACTTTTCAATAGATTAGCAAGCTTGTCATAGATTTTTGCATTAATTCGAATTTCATTTCGGCTAGTTAATAATTTGAATATTTGTATTGTATATTTTGAACAGAATTGATTTTTAAGAAAATAATCATTAAATCGTTGAATCATTGTGTTAGTTAATGATTGTCCATTGTGAACAATGTAGTATAGAATTTGAATAAAGATTTCAATTTTTTCAATATTCTTATTAATGCAAAGTTGTATTGTAAATGTTTCAATTAAATGATTTGCTAGTTTTTGACCATTTTGTACACATCGAAGTAAGAGTAGGAACAGTGTCGTATTACCTGAATTTATATTTATTATTTTATTGAATACTTTGAATACATTCATCGGTATTATTCTATTCTCGAACATGGCATCATTGATAAACGTTCGAAATTTTTCTTCGAACTTGACACAATCAAATTCGTTGAAGTTCGTTCGTTTCAAAATGTGTTGTGTTACTTTTTCTAATTCTATTAAATTGTATGCGCTCTGTGGAATATTCGAGTGTATCGAAAAGATTCGATCTAATGAACTGAAAATACACTGACGGAGCGATTCGTTCAGATTTGTTTTTAATACAAAACACATCTCGTTGATTTCATTATCCGTAAATTTGGTTTTCAAATATTTTTGAATGATAATTTCCAACAATATTGCCGCATTAAAAGTTATTGTATCGTTTGAATTGGATAGCAGTTCAATAACGAATGTTGAAATATTCTTCGCACAAGACACGATCATAGTGTAATAGTCGTTACTTTTTGTAGTATAAATTTCGAATAAATGTTGAAATGCATTCAAAATCGATTCACATATACTGGTGTCTGGATCGTTTAATGCATTTTCTAATCCATCAATTTCATATTTCGTTAATGGTTGTTGATTTTGAATTGCTGAAACCAATATCAGACAAACATTTTGACGTATTTCTTTGTTCAAATCATTCCTATTGAGTATGGCTACAAATTTTCGAAGTGGAAATATTGATAAATAGTCTTGTTTGTATTGAGCTATGTTTTTAAGCGCATAGATCGAACTTTGTAATAACTTTTCATGATCTAATCCTTCAATGAGAACATCGATTGTATCCTCAACAATCGATATATCGATATTTTGATACGATATTTTACATAAATTACCCAAAAGAATCGTCACATATGATCGTAAACGTTCATCCAAATTTGTATCTTTTAAATAATGTTTCAATAGATGTGTATCCAATTGTGTTGACATTAATTGGTCTTCGTTTAAGGCACATAAAATTCTTAAACAATATTCAAGCATTTCTTTGTGTTGTGAAGACATCAAATTGAAACATATTGAAATGTTATTCAATATTTTCGGCGTCAAATGTCCAATAAACAATTGATTTTCAATAGCTTTTTGAAGCACATAAGATGCCGAACGATTTAAAGACAAATCTTTGTGACTAACAACTTCAACAATCAGAAGTTCACTGAAAATCTCGAGTAAATTTTCATTTAGCTTGTATTGTCGATATAATAAATTTAAGAAAAATGAAGTCATCAGTCCACAGTTTCCATAATTCTTATTGATGTCTTGATATATGTTTAACAGAAGTGCTTCCATACTATCAATTGATTCTTGAGGTATATCATAGCGTTGATTTCGAACTAATTCCTCAAATGAAAATAATGTATATATCTGAACAGTTGTCAATGGATCGTTCAATGCATGAGACATTGCATTCAATAACAAAGGATTCAAACGTAAAGCACTCTGGTTTTTAATAAGATTATATAAAATTTTTGATCCATACCGTCTTAGTAATAGAGATTGCTGATCTTGTAATGCAATTGAAAGTGCATTTAAACACAAGTCTGATGGATATTGACCATTTTCTAATCGAATATCAATTGTTCGAATCGAGTTTTCTTTTGTGGTTTTTTGATGATTATTAATAATGACATTGCAAAGTCTATCAAATATTAAATCTGATATGAATACCTTTTTCTCGGCCAGAGCCAAAAAGACACGACAAGCATTAGTACTTGATTCATTGTATAATAGATCATCTGCAAATTTCAACATGCGATCATTGGTTAAAGTTTTGCCATTTCTGATTTCATCGATAACTTTCTCAATCGTATCAGAATTATCGAACATTGTTGTCAATTTTCTTTCTGAAAAATATCAGTAAAATTCAGACAATGAAGATGTGAATACTCAAGTCGCGAATATTAGTATTACGCATATCACTGACGGGTGTTGCAAAGTTTTGCATTAGTTTTCTTTTCAATGTTGTACTGTAATGGAATATCCTAGAGATACTATCCATTTCTTGTTAGAAAGAACAATGTGTCTAGTACAAAAATATGTAAAAGCGTTCGATCGAACATTCTCCCAGAAAGCTGAAAAAAGTCATCGAAAAATTGTTCTACAACTTCAGTCATAAATTATATATTTGAAGAATTTTGTAGGATACTAAAATAGTTGGTTTATCGGACAAGAGACTGAACAGCAGAATAGTTTTATGGAAAAGTCAATTTGATGGTTACAAATGCGAGAAAAACAAAATTCCCTTGAAGTTTAAAAAAGTTATAGAAGAATTTTTCAATACTATTTACACCTAGATTTTAATATACTTGCGAAAACATATCCTTATACTAGACATTGTTCCTTCTATCAAGAATAAAAAGATAACGTCTCGATGATCTTCCATAGCAGCAGCACTTTATAAAAAAAATTAACGTAGAAAAAATCTAATATCTAGGCTATATAATAAATGTATTGGATTAGAATTATAGATTTTCTAAAAAAGAAAGTTTGTTCATAAACACCAGGAAGAACACACTGATAGATGAGACGAATCTAAGATTTTTTATAATTCATTCGACGTTTTTCTTGAACATTGTTCATTGTTCTTGAATTGTTCAAAAAAGCTTCTTGTTCCTTCTTTTCTTTTAACTTTGCTTGTGCCTCTTGTTGTCTCCTTAATTTAATGTTACCGATATTTTCACGCAAGTTAGCAACATCTTTAGTGGCATTTGTCATCCACATTCGTTTTGATACCCAATTATTGTGCAAACTTTGGATGCGTCCATCCAAATTTGCCTTAGTCGTTTGATGTTGTCGGACATCATCATTAGCTTTAGTGTATAAACCATGTTGGTCATTGCACTCTTGTTCCTTTGTTTCCAATTTATTAGATAATTCTTGAATGCGGTTGCGATTTTCCTTAATTTTGCTATCAGTTTCGTTCAATTTTCGTTCCACTGCCTATTTAGAACAAATGAACAAAATCGCATATATTCGAGTAAATGAAAAAAATAATTTTCGTTGGCAAAATTCGTTTTATCGAATGTTAACGAAATCCTATAATCTGCCACATCGGGGATTCTGTAGGATTTCCCATATTTTAAAGCCGACGTCATCTAACAATTGTCGACTGCAAAAACCAGAGTCGGATCGTCGTTGGATCCCACATTCTTCAGCAGATTTTGTATATTGGGATTTGTTTATGTTATTTTATGTTCAATGAGAATATGCATCGTTGATTCTTCTATGTGGAATGATTTTTTGTTCTACTATTCTTATTAGAGAAGATGTTTTAGAAATTGAGAACTCATTCGTTATGCTGTATTACAGAGTTGAAACAGTTAGGGGATTATCATACCTAGCCAAATCGATGTACTGTCTGACAGAGAAAAGATCCCAAAATTGATGAAATTCTAATGAAAACTCACGCGAATTAATTGCTGCAATTGACTTATACAATCCTTACTGGGATGTGATAACGAGCGTTTTTCAAATGTTCAACCTTGAGATCATACTTGATTGAAAGAACTTTTATTTTCTTAATTTGTCCACAACAATCAAATCTATCAGATATATTGAGTCAAACAATACTGAAAAACCACATTGCTTATAAGTCCTTACATTTGCTAAACACACATGATTGTATTAGCAATATGCACCGACTCGTTGGGTCAACTTCTCTCCTTGAATTTCTTTCAAGTTCCATAAAGATTTAAATTTTGGATTAGTTTGTATTTAGTGCTATTATTTTGTGTGTGGATGTGAATACATAGAAAATTGATAACTGGTAGCATTCAATAGTTGTCTACATTTTTTGAAAATTGCAACCATACATGTCACAAAGTCGATGGCTTTTGCCAATGTATTTTTTGCTGTTAAAATTACAGATTAGGGTATGAACGGGGCTAAAAACTTGCAGCAATCGCAATTTCTTACTCTCTCTTCCAACTGACTCGGTGAATAATTGGATTTGTACATTCGGGTGAACGCTCGACTTTCTCAGATTTATTGATCTATCGCGTAAATTCTTTCGATATAGAACCAAACGGCCCAATAAACTCCTCTAGCTAGGTATTTTGAAGTATGATATAAACTTTTTTAGGTTGCATTTCGTCGTTTCCTAAATTCCCTTGGAAAGAGTATATCATTGTTTTGTACTATGGTAAATTATGGATCCTGTATTACAAAATCATTTAGGAATCCGAGAAATGACTTTCCCTACAGAAATGTCTTGGTTTATGTATTTGTCGAATTCTTCTAGAAAAGCAAATTAATATCGGTCTAAGTTTCAATCATTGACTTTGAAAATTTTAACATAGATAGAGATTTTTAACTATAAAGTCTAGACATCGATCTAAGATCAATCAATAAGGTTAGCACAGAATTAGAGTGGAAACAATGCGATCGACAACAATGACAAAAATACTATTCTCCCTTTTACTCTGCATCAATTTGATTCGAGTGAGTTCGCGTAGGTACTCATGCAAGATACTTCAAATGCTCTAATTATGATAAAATTTTCGACATAAACCGTTCAAATCAAGAACCTAACTTACTGCTTGTTTTTCTATTGGGAATTAGAACATATATATATGTACAGGTCAATATGTTCCTAAAAAATAGCTAAATCTTTACACATGGCGTACTAATCAAATTCTCTCTAATGATTACAAATCATTGTTGACCACGGTATGTCTAACTGGAAGACAAAAATCCAAAAAGAGATTGATTAGTGTAAATTCCAAGGATCTATTTCCTCTCAGAAAGTGGACAAAATATCATTGATTTACACCTTCTCGTACCTCACAGTAAGTCGAAGGCGAGATTTGCATTTCAACAATTGATGCGGAATTTTCTACACACAATTTTCATGCATTGTTGATTATGTTTATTGTACATACCCGTTTAGCGTTTTGGTGTTTAACTCTGTCCTTCTCCGTCTGGTCCAAATTTATTTTGTTTTCTCTTAAACCTTGTTCATAACCAGAAATCTGCTCGCGAATACGTTGAGCATGAGCAGCATGTTTTTTACGTTGCTTTTCGATTTGAGCCTTTTCTTCTTTCTTACTTTCCAATTGAACTGTGACTCTATCTATCTCGATTGTTTTCTCCATCATCATTTGGTTGTGTTTATTCAACTCTACTTGTAAATCTTTAATTTGTTTTCCAAACTGTTCCTTCTGTTCTTGTGCCATACGACGTCTTATTTCGAGTTTTTTACGATCGGCATCGAGCTGTTTGCTCTTATCTTGTTCATTTTGAAGCTTTTGATTTTGTTGAACAATCTCTGCTTCTACCTCATGTGTCTTCTTCTTAGCCATTGCGATATCTTGTTTGATGAGGTTCACTTGTTTTTTGCATTCTTGTGCCGTTCTTTCCTTGGCAGCAAGGTCGGTTCGCTGTTTTTCGACTTGTTTTTGTTTTTCAGTCGCAAAAGTTTCCGTCTCTTGGATTTTTTTCTTCTTCGATATGAGTTTCTCGTTTAATGTATTGAGATTTGCATCAGCCACATGATGTCTCTTCTCAGCTGCTGCTAAGTTAGTTTCTGCATTATTAAGTGCACTTTGAGTGTGTTGCTGTCTGTTCTGAAGATCAGTTACTTGCTCCTTCAATTGGTCCACTTTTGCTGTTTGCTGTTTCAATTGCATCTCGGCCTGATTGACTTCGATGGTTGCTGCTTGTTGATGCTTTTGGGCATCAATCAGTTGACCTTGAGCATTTACAAGATTTTTCGTTGCTTCCTCAACGACCTTCGTTTGTCGTTCGACGTCTTGTTTAGCCGCATTTTTCACTTTCGTTTGTTGTTCCCAGTTATTTTTTGCAATAACCAATTTTTCCTTCTCTTGAGCGAGAGTCTTATGGGCTTTTTGTTTCTGTGTTTGTGTCGTTGCATGCCTAGCAAGGGCTTGATTACGCTTGGCGGTCGCTTGCTCTAATCTTCTTTCTGCATTTGCTAAAGCATTTGTCAAGTTATTAACACTAGATGTGACACAGTCTACTACGTGTACTGCACTAACAGCAGCAATGCCACCAGCCGGTCCACCAAAAATCGTACCTAAAATACCAGCTAAACCATATATTAGACCAGAGGATTTGGAGTTGTTCAACTTGGCTTTGATGTCTTCCACTTCGGCCTCGGCTTGTTTTTGTTCTCGCATTGCCTGATTTGCATCTTCCTTGGCTATGCTTTCTTCCCGATCTGCTTCATTAGCATTATCTTGTGCTTTATTCACGACAGTTTGCTGAGTCTCAAAAGCCGTTTGTATTTGTAGTTCCAATTGTTCTTGACGCCTGAGTTCTTCTCTCAATTGTTTGAGCTGGTCAGTAGCGGCATCAAGTTGTGCTTTGGCTTCCCTGACGTCTTGCTCGAGTTTCACGACTTTTTCATTAATTTCATTCAGTATCCTTGTTTTCTCGACAAGTGTAGTTTCCATTATTCTTTTCTCGTTGTCAGCTTGATTAAATTGCAATTGTTTAGCGTTTAACTGTTGTGTAATCTCATTGAGCATCTGTCTCAAACGTGTCACTTCGTCGTTGGCGCGTTTCAATGCTTCTCTATCAGAATCATAAGATACAAGATCATCGTATTATAAATAATGAAAATATTCAAATATTTATTTTTCCAAATATTTTGAAGAAATCCCATCTTGAAATTTCTTATCTTGATTAATAAAATGTGCCAAAAAGGAACAAATTAGTGCGTTACTCAGGTAGTATCACACCTTAAGTTGGATGGGATCACGTTGAGTCAGCAATCTGAACGATTGCATATATAAAGGCATTTTACCACATTTTTTTGTACTTTGTCTTGCGAAAAGTAAGTTTGTAGAAGTTTGATAGAAGGAGAGTGTATAGATTGAATATGATTGGGTTATACTTCCTTATTTTTTTTTTGTTTGTTGATAGGAAACAATGATCGATAACTCGAGCGTCTTCTTCTAATTATAGTATATATGCTATCAGAAAAAAATGAGAAAAGTTTTTATTTTTGTGTACATTATTAGGAAAAAAATAAATTCTTGTCTGGGAAAACTTTAAAAAAACTGAAATTTTGGACGTAGACTCCTTGGTTGATTACTCGATATTTTTCTAATAGTCATCTTGTGAGAACATGTTCATCATTCTTTTTGCCTCTAGAAAAGAACAAATGAGCTGCCTCTCTAAAAGCAAAATGATAATCCAAACGACGGCGATAATCGCCAATTATCTTGCACGATATACCTTATTCCTTAAACAAAACTGTCATCCATTTCAATCGGAATCGATCCTTTGTTAAAAATCTCTTTTCATCTCTGCAAGAAACAGTTAACTCTTGCAGAAATCGAATGCACAAAAAAACTGAAAATGCATAACAGCTCGTTGATTAGAAAAAAAACATCACTATGGATGCTTTAGCTACTCACAAATTCTGTAACGTTAAGATAAGAAGAATGGCGTTTTCAAGGGTCTGATTCTAATCATCCCCGTTACACCCTTGCTCTGTCAATAGCGATAGTAATTTCCGGCCTTTTGTCGAGTTATTTCGTTTCCTATTCATATGAATATAATTGTAAAACAATTATTACTTCTTGGTAATTTTTCTAGATATTCTACAATATACACTGATCAATCATTGCTGATTAATTAAAGATGTGCTGTCTTCTAACAGTAAATTTTCTTCATAGTCACAGTTCGAGAAGGATTATTTTATCTGGAGATTATATTGGTTTGCAAAACATGAAACTTATTTGGAGAAGTAGTCATGCCTGCGACGTAGTTGAGCCTTGTTGAATATTATAATGAATAGTTTCAATAAATGGCTGCTTCTATTAATAAGCGTTTTCGATCTGAAACCGACAACAGCAAAGCGTTACGGTTAAAATTATATTCGATAAAATTTGTTGTCATTCTTGTCGTTATATAAGTTAGATACGAAAGCGTTTGAAGTTTAGATTACTAGAGAACACAAGAAATGAATTTTTTTTAAGCATTTTTCATTGTTATATATTCTCCAAATTTATTGAAAATAATCATCACTCTACATAAGCCGAAACAAAAACAACGTCTATCCCTTACACAGAATTTCATTTCTAGAAAGTAGTAACGCTGCGCATCAAATCTTCGGATATTCTTGAGAAATGATTATCTTCTTATTTTGTTGAAATTCATACTGAATATAAATTCTATTTACATACCTTGCTTGCTGAAGTTCATTCTCCGCTTGACGATATTGTTCTGTCAATTGATTGGTTTCTCTTGTTAATTGTGCCAATTGATCTTCCAATGTTTTCAATTCTCTTTGCAATGCGTCAAGAACTTGTTTTAATTGTTGAACGGCATTCTCAGCAGCTCTTTCTTCATTTTCGGCCGATTCTCTATCAGCGTTCTTCTGATTAAGATACACGTTCAAGTCACGTTTCTGTTGGTTGCTCTAAACAAAATTTTAACGTGATGTAAGAAAATTATTGAACACTGGTAGTATGATATTATTTTAAATGATTTCGGGAACAAACAAAATCTCTTTTTTAATACTTTATATCTAACACATGCTGATCGAGGAAAAGCTTTCGCATATAGATGAAATCGGGGCCGGTAACCGGCCGAGTTTTATGTATCTGACGGATATGGATCATATTTTTGTCTTTTTTTATGCTTTGATAGTTGTTACGATTTTGTCGTCAGTCAAAGTTATCCGATTGTCTTGTAATGACAGAAACAGTGGTTGATTGTTCAGCTCTATTTGATAGATTCAAATAGACTAGCTGTATTGCATTGATACTTACAAAGGTACTATGTATGCTCTGGAGTGGGTACATAGTGATTTTGAGAATTGTTTTGTTTGTTTCTTTGAATATTATTTGATTTGTAAGTAGGCATGCACCGAATCCGAATGTTCGGTCTTAAAGTTCGAGTTCAGATGCAATCTTGAATGCAGTCATTTTCAATTAATTAATAAAGCTCAGAAATAGAAGTAAATCAAACGAAAGGCTTTTCGGATTGGTATTATACGTCTTCAGAAAGCGAAGTAAATGATCAAAACATTGAAAATCACACGACTTTCTAAGAAAAAAAAGTTAACCATGTTCGGAAATATTCAAATCCGAACTCGAATCTGAACTTGATCGAACCTAAGGATGTTTCTATAATCGTGTATATGCTTCTACAACTGCTTGAACAACTACCGAAATACTCGACACAGCCTACACTCATTCGGTAGTTCCAGCCCATTGAACACATTTTTATTTAGTGATCGAGAGCAGTGTTTTCTATGGATCTCGATGCTTCTCATTTGCACTCTTTTAAAGAGAACTATAAGAAACTATATATCACGAAGATGAAGGAAATTGTCACTGCAAAAATATACTTTTCTGAGTTAAATTCAAGCAAGACCTTCTTCATGTAGAATAGGACGAGATCATCTCAGAAACCAATATATCGCAAATAGTGTGAATGAGCGGTATAGACGTAGGGTGCAAGTGTGGGTGTCGACTGTGCGATGCGGGTGTTCGCTAAATTAATAACATTCTGTACACTCAAGCACGTACACCCGGACTCACATCTCGTAGTAACACCCAGAATCAAACCAGAACCCACACTCACCTCCATTTGCATGATAATTTAAACGACATTTGTGTTACCGACTGAATCAAAAATGTTCGCGAAAAATTGATGATTTTTTGTTGAGTTAAAACATGACCCAATGTGGCCGCGAGGTCTCGTGGAGTCAGATACTGTTGGACTACTATCAGCACCGGTCATAAAAAATTCTAACAGGTTTAGATTATTTTCAGTGTCCATATATAACGACTAGCAATAACAAACTAATCTAATTCAACAACAATGATTCACTTTGGATACGATAAGAAAAAAATCTGCTAATTAAGGAAACTTATTGAACGTTGAAACTGTTTCAAATTTCACATGTATCCAATTACACCTGACAATGTCTGCATAAGAGGAAAGCATTTTTTTATATTACATACTTGTTTGATCATTTCTCTAAGACGTTGAATCGATTCTTCTAAATATTTGATTTGAGACTCGATTTGCAGCTGGTTCCTTTCCAATTCGTCTATTTCACGATTTTTCTCTTCTATGTTTGCTTGACATTTAGCCATTTCGTCTTGATTCTTTTGTATTTGCTTGGTAATTTGCTTGACAACATTCTTTGATTGTTCAAGTTCTTTGCTTAATATCTTCTCTTGATCTTGTAATCGTCCTAATTCGCGATCAAGATTTCTTATTTGCGTTTCAAGAGCAGTTTCTTCAGTTTGAGCACTTTGCAACTCTCCATTCAGTTTGTTTCTTTGTTCTTCTAACAAAGATTTCTGATTATTCAATATAGTCATTTTCTGTTCGATATCGGCCAGCCGTTTATTTTCTTCTTCTAGTGCTCGCTGCTGTTGTGTAAGATTAAACTGCAGTTCATCTTGCTCAACAGTTAAATCATGTTGCTGTTTTCGTAGTATTTCAAGTTCTTTTTGCAGACGTTCTATTTGTGCTGTAAGATTTGCAAGAGTGTCAGTTCGTTGTTGAAGTTTTTTCGCTTCTGTTTCTTGTTCTATACGAAGTGTACCAAGTTGTTTTTCCATATCATCGAGTTCTTTATTGGCTATTGAAATATTTTTATTTGTGTCATTTATTTCCCATTCATATTCTTCTACACGTCGTTTATCTTCGCCATTAAGTGTCTGGATTTCTCGTTCCAATTCATCATACTTTTCAAGTTCTCGACGAGCGATGATTTCATCGTCTTCACTTAGTTTACTCAACTCAAGCTCGCGAAATCGACGAATATTTTGCTCTTGTAAACGATGTTGTTCATCTTCAAAATTCAGATTTATCGCCATGATACTTTGATGTCAATTGTTTGTGGCTGTTTAAATACTGAGATCGTGTTGAATTGTGTTTGGAAAAATCAGACTTTTTTCGCGATATGATGTCAAGTGAAGGTAAAAAATCTTGTATGTAGTCACTGATAAGGTGTATTTCAGAGCGTTGTGTTATCAGTCCACATTAATTTGGAGAGAAAGAGAAGAGAGAAAAAACAAAATCTGATTCACTACTGCAACAAGATAAGGATAATGGTTGAGATAAGTTACATTCAGCCTGACGTATATATAAAATGATGCTATTGCATGTACATCGCATGTCGCTGCTCAGACGTTTGTTTTTCGTTCTTTTCACTCTTGCTATCGCTCTCTTTTTCGGCGAATTAAGGCGTTTGTCCCTATCTGTTCTTTCTTTTCTTTAAAGGGAGTTTGATTATGAGCTCATGAAAACAAAAAAGAAACACCATTTTCAATGAACATCAAAATGATAGTATTGGTGACAACATGTTAATAGTTGACGATATTAATCAAAATATAAATGATCTTCATCAACAATCAACTTCATTAATAGATGCAAAAACAAGTACAAGGCTATACAAAAGACAGTCAATTCAAATTCTTGAACATAAAGGATAACTTTTTGCTTTTTTACACGAAGATTATCAATTACGAAACAAATTAAGTAAATAAGTTCATAATGGCGCTCATCTTGTAAATATGATGAACCATCGTACTGATAACAAAAGTAGTTCAAAACAATCTCCCATGTTTTATGATTGAATTTGACAAGAATATTGCTCTATGTGATCTTATTTAGGATCATTTTATTAAGAACAAGGTTATTATAAATGGTTTTTCTGTTGCTGTATTTATAGGTCATTATTTGAAACTAGGTGTAAATAATATGGAAGGTTATTCAAAATTTGTGCTGTCGGATAAATGATCAACATCAATCAATGGGACACAAATCTCGACTGTAAAACAAAAATTTGTTCCGGAATGTTTTATACTTGTAATACGCTATATTCCAAAATCACTTTCTCTTCAAAGTTTATCTAACGAAATTAAACGGTCAATAAGTTCAGCAGATAACTTTAAGCAAATTATGTATTCTTATAACCGTCCTACAAATGAGGGTGTGGGGTATGGGGTGTGGGTGTCGGGTGTGTGTATGGGTGTGGGTGTGGCTGAGGGTGTGGATGTGAGTGTGGGTGTGGATATTCATGTGATAAGCACCCATAACCACCTATACCCACGCCCACACCCACACACCCACACCCCACACCCACACACCCACACCCCAC